CATAACTTGTTCAGGTAACCTGTCAACTCAGTGACGAGGAAAGGTTTTAAGCTCAACATCTCCTTGAACTCTTGATTTTTCAACACAACAGCTTTGGTCAAAAAGCAGAGGATGTCTTATACGATAATAGCCAAGGTGTAATTTAGGCAGGCCAATGCAAGGGTGTACGTCAAAACACAGCCAGAGACGCAAACGTAGCACCCTTACCCTTTGGAAAAACAACACGGCATATTACATCACCAGAAGTTAATGAACTCGGGATTATTCTTAAAGTCTCATATGTACAGATACCATGGCTTGGTAGGTTCTTTCCTCTCCTTCACACAACTGAAATCTATTTGAGTAATGTAACCCTACCTTGGTTATTAACTGACTGCATTTTAATAACCATTCTTGCCACACACTGTGCTGAACCTTTTTTTTTTTTTTTTTCCAAGGACTTAAAATTTATCAGTGATATTCTAGTAAGATAAGAGACCCACTGAATGCTGGGGTCCACTGTGGCATTGCACACACATGGAAGTTGAGACTTTTGGGGTAGAATAAAAGTTTCGTCAAATAGTACTTCCAGCTAAATAAGAGGGTTTAGACTCCAGATCTATTCTGTAAATTGTGAAACTAAGATAATTATGGTATCAAATAAGAATGCATCAGCATCATTTTCTCAAATAAAGATGCACAGCATTTACTGCTGCATTTTAGAGGAGAAGTACCATATGGGAGAATCTAGTTCAGTCTTCTCAAGATAGCTGAAACTCCTCTCTGCAGTAAGGTGTAGGTGTCTGCAAATTACACAGCTTCTTGAGTCAGTGCCGATCTAGATTGCTCCATTCATAATTAGACTTTTGATTGGTACCTATCCAGATCATCTCATTCATAGTATGATTTACAAGCAGGGATCGCAGAAAGGAGACAGACAGGCAAAGCATTAATTGAGGGAATACCAGAAGAACTGCTTCACATGACAGAAGTATTTCCTATGCCTGCTATTGTCAGAAATTCCTTAGACAGTTTGCTTTGGAGATATGTATCCACTGGCTATGAATCTGTCCTCTTTGGGGATTGCTCCAGCCCAGTTTAAAATCAGAGTTGCATAATAATGTCTGTTGCGTCTGAAAGGTAGCACACCTAAAAATACATTAATGTTTAAATTGTGCATACTTCAAAGACTTGAAGGGTACAGAATGCAAATGTTCAGGGACCTGCTCTTTTCTTAATTATGTGCAACTTTTTAACCTGAGCAAAATTCATATATATATATATATGTAAGTGAAGATTACTTTTAAGTAAGGACACTGTGATAAGCAAAATTAAATTGACTGATTCTAGCTACTCTCAACACTACAGCACATGATCGCACCCTGGCTATTTCTTTCTCCCCTGTATGCAGTGTAGAGGGAGACAATACATGAAAAGTTACCAGAACTGATCTGTGAGACTCTGAACTCAAGGGAACTGAAAGCAATCAACAGCAGCATCAGGCTTTGTGTTTTCATGTGGCATAAACTGAACAGCAGACCACGTACAGCATCAACTACTTGCAGTCTAATTGCATATTTTAAAGGCCAACAGAAACACTGAGGAATATTTTGTGTTCTACAAAATATATATTTAAACATCTGTTAACTGTATAGTGTTCTTGACTAAGGTGGGGTTTTCTTTTTAAGTCTAAAAAATCTCGCTATTCTAGTTGGTATTACAGGGGAAATTGTGTATGTTATATGGGCCTAATGCAACACTAGATAAAAATCAACTGTTACATGATATTCTTGTCTCCAGTAAAGAAAAGCAGAGCTATAAACTTACAGAAAATTACCTCCCTTTCTTCAGTTTCAAATGAGAAAATTGCAATTACTCAAGCAGCATTAGTTGGCAGTTACAAGGTAGCATAGTAAGCTAAAAAAAACCCAGATTTTCACTTGTGTACAGCTAACTTCAGCTTGACATAGTATTGAAAAAAAAAAACAACAGGAGGGAAGAGAAGCAGTCTTATCTCTTTGACCAATACAAAGGCACTGGACACCTGCTGAGCTGTTCAGGAAAACCAAAGAAAAGAGGTAATTATTGAACAAGAGGTCGACACTGTAGATGGCTGTGCAGAACTATAACACTTTCAGAGAAACTTCTGCTTTTACCCCGTCTTTGCTAGAGCTTCGTTGTTCATATCTGTGGAAGTCTTTCATCTGATTTCTGTCCTTGACAAAGGAACTGAAATTGCTGATCAACGTTTCTTCTAAGAGGTTAGGGAAATAGTAAATTCTTTGAGAGATCCAAAAGGAAGCAAACCCACCCAGCAGCTTTATAAAGGAATAGAAGTATTGCCAATCTTAAACATTATCAGTTGGAAGTCTCCATTCGCTTCAAGTGTTCTAATTATTTTAACCTTCACATAACAGTTTTTCAATCTCTCATTCCCTCCTTCAGTTAATAATCATTATGAGGTAGCCTTGATTTTCTATATTGAAAAACACTAACCATGAGGTTAAGACATATCTAAGTCTTTTCTAACAGGACAGATATTACCACTTGACACAATCTCTCACAACTGATTTTCATATCTGAGACTAGAAGTCTGCTCTAAAATTGTAGGTAAGAAACACACACAAATAAAGCTTTGTTTTTCTATAAAGCAGGAAAAGAAACAGTTTTTTTAAACAAACAAACAAGGGCTCAACAGGTGTACCAAAACAGGCAGCACGTGAAGGGAGCTGTGATCTACACACATGATCTTAAAAACTGAGAAGCACTGCCAAATTTTGAGAAAGAGAAAGAAGAAGATAAAAAGAGAAAAAGGGAAAAGAAGAAAAGGAGAAAAAGAAGAGAAAAAGGTTAAACTAAGACTAAAGTACATGTAAATAATTCATTTGGCATTCTACATGTATGAACTCTATAAAGCCAACTTTATGGAAAAGAGAGTCAGAAACTTAGGATTAAAAAGATATAAAACAGATAACATCATGCCTCTAAAGAGAGAGTTTCAGCCCGATAAAAACATAACTGGAATTCAGAGTTTAAGAGAGAATGGTAAAGAAGAATCTGAAATTCTGACTATTTTAGCCTGTCTAAATTGACATTTTATCTGAATGGCAACAATTCTTCCAACTTAGTTCTTCCTCGGTACATCATTTGCAGGTCTCAAACAGAGCTAGCAAAGAAACTAGAAAATACAAGGGTAGCTTCAAATACTTGAGGAAACATGCAGTGTTCTTTCAGGGCAGCTTTGAAATACCTTCATTAAAAAACACATCCAATTTACACCTCAGTGAGTCATTACATATGAGTACCACTGCAAAGTTCACAAATATTTTTAAAGTAACAAAATAAGCCATGCACATTAAATACATTTTAAAGCAACACTGTAATGAAAAGAGAAAGGGATTAGTATTAAGCTTTTGTATGCGAAGTGGAGAAAAGGAAACACAGTAACACCAAATCTTGTTTACAATAGGCGTATGACCAGAATTGCCTATGAGGGGCTGTAACTGCAGCCTCCTGACAAAGTCTGTGTGAAGAAGCGTCCCTCTGTGAATAAGCCTGTACCACGAGCCCCATTTTGCAACCACGAAAGAAAACAAACAAGAAATCACAAACTAGATTTTGGTTGCGAGCGTTCTGCTCTTGCTGGAAAGCAGCAGGCTGGAAGGAGACAAACTCCCTGCAAAAGCAGCAGCTGCTCATGTACTACTGTAATTATTTAACAGCTTACATAAAGCTCACAAAATAAAGTCACTTCTTTAAAGGAAGGCTGTTTTCTTGTCATGCGATGCTGTGTTTTCACGGTCAGCCACTGAAGTCTGAGGTACGGAGCTGTCTCTTACCTGAGCTGATCATACTGTGCATCCTTTGCTGAGCCAAGAGCTGTTCACGTCCAGAAACCCCATCTGAGGAAAAACACGAGTCACTCTCGTAAATTGTCTGCAGCATATTCCAACTGGTCTGCACTTCAGCTACATGAGAGATTCATCACTGCACTTGCACAGGGGCGTCAGGCACGACCCTCTGCGGTCCTACCTCCTCCAGCGAGGGTTGTAAGATAATACGCCTCGGCAATTAGCAATGTTTAAGCACTGGCACGAGTATCTATCGGGAGAGAGGGGAAAACCCCAGATCCACTCTCAGCAGCCCCCGCCTGCTGGAAGGGAGCCCTGAGGGCGCGGGGGGCTGAGCGCCTCCGAGTTTCAGCAGTTGCGTTCGGGCAGCCAACGGCAGGTGGAAGAAGAAATAAAGAAGTATCTCTGCGTTTCGGGCTCGGTGGCGGGGCGCGGGGGAAACACAGCCTCCTAACAAACCGTCAAACACAACAAGCCTCCTTTCCGGGGTCCGGGAGCCCCCGAAGGTCTAGTCTGAATTACCCCAGCCCGGGCCGGCGCTGCTGTCCCCGCGCCCCTCTGCTCTCCCAGGCCCGCTCTCCCTCAGCGTGGCGGCCGGGCCAAGTTGGCGGGAGCAGCAGCGATAACTCATTTGCATTTGAATCGACACCCGCGCGGCCCAGCGGCGGCAGAAATAGAACAATGGCCGGCCTGAGCCAAAAATAGGTCAAGCATGGCCGGGCGATTGGAGCCTGCATTAATGCGTTTAAAAATACCACAGCAAACACAGCTGTCCAGTCTCTGTCTTTCAAACCGGCAGCCCGTCCTCCCTCCACTGCTCGGCCTCGAGCGCAATTAACCCCTTCCCCCTGCCCAGCCCGCTTCGGTGGGGAGAGCCAGGGAGGGAGGAAGGGAAGGCAGGGAGCGGGACAGAAACACTCCTTGCCCCTCTCCTTCCTTGCCCTCCCCCGGGGAGTATTTTGTGAAAAGCGAGCTAAACGCCACGGCCTCTGTATCGGTCCTAAAATAACGCCGGGAGGTTTTGCTGGCGATGTGGTTTCTGCCTCGCCCACGCGCAGCCATCCTGCCGTTCTATTTTTGCTGCCCGTTCCTCGGGCTACGCCGCAGTTGGCTGGGCGGGCGGG